AGTAAAAGACATCCTGTGAGATGTTGAGGTTGAAGATCTGCTGTCTTCCTGTCTTCTCAACCCTAAATTTTGATATTACAAGTTTGGAACCATTAGAATAATCTGTAGCCAGTAATAGGAAAAATATCTCAAACAGCTTTCTCTGTTATTCCCATTTACCATTTATTTACTTTCTCATGCCTCCATTGACAGTGGTCACTGGTATATTGATTTTGTTCATAACTCCTTGGAGCAGACTTACTGCCTTTATTTGCCTGGGAAGCACCCTGTGCACCACTGATACTATTACTTTTGTACTTTTACCAGTAAATACATTCTGTAACAGCTTGGGATTATGTTGCAAAAGAATGTTAGTTAAACAGCTTGACTTTGTCTTGTTCTGAAGGTAAAGTTTTGGTTAACTTCATCCGGAAAAGAACAACCAAACAGTTTCACCAGCACTTTAGATCAGAAGTCTCAAACCTTACTCTGACTATCTACGACTGTCCTTCTACTGTGGATTACTGAGTGGAAGCTTATCTTGGTGAAATATTTTTCTAAGCATCACCTGGAATTTGCAAGGAGGCCATGAAATACAGCAGCAGCAATAGTGAGGAGAACATGGCAGTTTTTCAGCCCTGGTCTAATGTAGGAGTTTCAACTGCTTTTAAGAACCTACTAAAACTATTTTGTGTGATGGATCGTATGATGTGTCTTAAGAGCCTGTATTTTCCTCTGTATAAGCTTTTGATACTGTCTTAATGTATTTTTTTCTTTAAAAGTGGGTTTTCTTTTAGGTTATAGTCATTGTAAAAAAACCAAGAAGAATGGGCAGCCCTGACATTTTTGTTAATATTTTGGAAAATAAACAGTTGTGGTTTGGCTGTCTGTCCATTTTAGTTGTTTTCACAGCAATCAGCTGCATTGGCTTTGGTCCCTAATTTATGTACCTCTCCCTTCTCAGGTGATTAGTTTGGCAGTCCTTAAATGCTGGCAGGACTTTTTTAATTCCAAATTCCTTAATATTAATAATTGTATTATGTTATCCAGAGCACCTTTCCAAAAGATCAAAGATAAGGTAGAGGGTTAAACATCTCATTATAGTGCCCCATAAAAGGGGGATATCATAAAAGGAAATTTAAAGGGCCAGGGAGAAAATTAGTGTTGATACTAAGTGTTTCTTACAGGGTGAGGGGAGTGAGGGTGCCATGGAAGAAGGAAGATAAGGGCCAGCAAAGTAAGGAGATGTGAAGTGTGTAGGACAACAAGTTTCTCAAACATGATGAAATGGAAAGAGATGGAGCTGGTAGAGGGATCTAGGAGAGAAGTCATATGCTCAAAATGACAGGACTGAAAAAAGGTCTTCTCAGGGTGTGGATGGAAGGGACTTGATTGAAATGATACTGAAGAGAAGGGTGTAACAAGTGCTGCTGAGAGAGAATGCATATATTAGTGGCAATCAGAAAAAAAAATGCTGGATTTGGGAGATGCAGAGGATGAAGTGGCAAATTTGGAGACAGAAAGTATGTGGTCCAGGAGGGAGTGGAGTCCAAAATAATTATAGACAGACTGGAGTGAGTAGGAGAACATGATGAATTGGTAGTATGAGAAAAAGTTAGATTGTTTTTTTGGCCATGTCACATTTAATATGATTATGAACTAGGTCGGTGACAGAACTTGCGATGTGGGTGTGACTCACAGATGTAAAGATTGTTGATTAAAACCAAGTAGGTTGGGTCAGGGCCTAAAGGTGGAGACTACAGAACTGCCACAGGCTTTTGGAAAGGAGAAAAGGGTCCTTGCATAGTGAGAAGCACTAATAAAATATGGAAGAAGCATTAGGGCAAGCCTGTGGCATCACAGGAGATTAAAATCTCCAGGAAGATGAGATTGCAGTATGTAAATGATGTCATAAGAAGTGTGGAGGATTCTGAGCTAGTCTATATCTTAAAGTTTGGCCATTGGGGTCACTGAGGATTTTGGAAGAATTTATTTGAAATGAAGATCCTAATTTTGTAGCTGTGAAAGCTCCTGGTGAACTCTAACACACTTCCTCTTCCCTTTGACAAGTGCTTGAGGGGGGAAGGCTTACAAGAAGGGTTACCCAGAATGAAGAGGATGAAAAATCCCCTTGGGAAGCTTGTTCCATACCTAGACTTAATGAAACTGGGTTGGAACTCTTTCTTGTTTACTTCTTAGCATAAACCCTGATCCTTGTGGAAGACACCTTGCTGACCTTGTACCCACCCTGCTGAATCATTCCACCAATTTATGATCTCCTTAACAGAAGTGGGAGTAGGGTTATTCCCTAGGGGAGGACGGTCTAACTTGTTTCTCATTTATGTGTTTTTAATTTCTGAAGAGAAAAAGTAAAAGGTGTTTCTTTAAGAGGGCCTATGTGACAAGGAGAAACTGAGCTCACGTGAATAGAATGATATAGCCCTCAACTGGACTGATCTGTCTTGTTTTTCTTCTGGTAGCAGCAATTTTTGCCTTTTAGCAGCTATAACCATAAAATTACAGCTATAGTCAAAAGGCCAAGAGCAAAGCAGTCATCTCATGATTTTGAGGGCACCTGGTCTTCAAATGTTGGTATTGAAGCTGAGGACTATGGTATCAAAAGAAATACATTGGTTTTTAGTTTGAAAATTAATTTGCAATGATTCTGAAGTGCTTGAAGAGCCTGTTAACTCTTTAACGTTATGTTTACAGTTTATAACTGCTGCTGTGGTTCAAATGCTTGTGTGGAGCTTGTGGTTAATCTTTTGTCCACAAATCCATATCAACCAGGGGGAAAAAAAAGAATCACTCATCAGGCACAGCTTTACCAGCATAACTCATTGTTTGGATGAAGCACTCTGAACAGAAGAGCAATTTTGTTGACTTTGCTGATGTTGTTCAGGGTAGTTGTGTTGCCCTGTCAGGGGAAGAAACTTCGACAGAACGTATGGTGCCTGTGTTAGTTACACTGATGCTGGTCTGTAATCTGAACTCTCTCTGAGGTTTTTGTTTAGTCCTGTCTTTACACAGACCTTCTTGTCTGCTTCTAGATGAGTTACTTTACCATGCGTATGCCATACCTTTACGTTGAAGAAAACAATGCTTCCTTACCCCTTTTATGTCTAATTAAATTGTTACCAGAGCTGCATGTTCCATATATGCTGGGTAGATGTTAACAATTAGATTATTGTTTGTTGTCAGGATAGAGTTCAAAAGCCACCTGCAGCAGGGATTCAGCCAGGCTTATTTTTGATAGGAGCAATGCCTACTAACAGATCGAGACTTGAGGTTGATCCTTATAAAAGGCTCTGTTTAAGCCTGAGATGATGAGACTTGATGTCTGTGGCCAGCTGTAGAAGTTACGTTGGTCCTTGGCTTGTAACTTTCTTTTAACATAACAGTAGATGATGTAGTTGTTGAACACAGGAAGACACTGTGGGTGGGATTCAGCTCACTTAAGATGGGATTTCTACAATGTAGACATTGACATCCAAGCTCCTTACTCATCTTTCAGTTGATGAGGAGAATCAAGCTCTCTTAGGACACAACTAATCTTACCTATTCTAGATGCCTGCTTTAGCATGCTGATTTCTTTTTTCTCCCTAGGGATTATAAAGAGAGTCTAGATGTCTAGCTCAGATGTCAATGTCTACAGCAGGTCAGGAGAGCTGTCCTGCATGCCTGTAACTCTAGCTGATCACTGTGTGATAGGAAGGAGCATTCAGACAGGGCCCTGCAAGAGGGAGATTTAACAGAAAAAGACATGTCTTTGCCAAGCAGATGAGTATACCTGCTCGTATTCTGCAGCTCAAAGGGGCTTGTGGAGAAAGAGACACTGGAATAGGGAGGCCACCTCAAGGTAGGGTGAGAAGACCAATTAGAAGCAGTTCAACATCTCTTTCACCTTCTTAACCAGAAGGAAATGTTTTTATGTCTCTGAGAATAGAGAGGACAAGTTCTTGAAACCAAGCTTTATCTGATGGAAGTGGTTAGAACAGGTCCTAGTTAATTCCTGTCTTTCTAGTAGGTGGAAAACAACCTCATATAATAAATACTATTCTTCTCACGTAAATCTGTTAAGGTAATGAACTGTACCTCTTTTTTTAAAAAAAAAACAAAAACTTTCGTGTGCTTGCCCTAACCTGATGGAGGCGTTGGCTTTCTTGTAAGTGCTGCTACGTGGGTGGAACAGCAGTGCTCAGCTTTTAACAGGAGAAATGCTTCATTTTGCATGCTCCACGTCCTGCCAGCTCTGAGATGTGAAGCTGTCAATGAACTCAAGAACCTGGGCAGGTTGAGGCTGAATGTTGAGTGATTTTTGTGGGAGGGAGTGGCAGCTGCATTGCCTGCATGCTCCCTTTTTTGCGGATGGCCTCAGGAATAGTACCCACTATAAATTAATATACTTTTTCATACAATATGCACCCCCACACTGCCAATTGTGACTATGCCTAAAAATCCAGAACTAAGAGAATATGAAGGGAAGTGTAAGATTTAGCCAAAACTCCTGTATTTAAAAGGGCTGGTATATGACTTGGATTTGATATAAACTCTTTTGGTCATGTGCTATCAAGACTGTCATGTTTGCTCTGTGTTCTCTGATTGTCAGTTTTGGGGAAAAAGTATATTTGTTAACGTAAACAGCTCAATTTAGTTTTAGTACGTGAATTACTGTAAGTAATAAATATCAGGCAAACTAGTGTGTACAAATAGTACATACTGTATGGAAAAAGTGTATTAATTTATAAATTTAAAAATAAGATACTGTCAAATGTATCAAAGTGTATTTGGATTATGAAGTACAGCAATCTTAGAGATGTGAACGAGTTTTTTTTTAGGAAGGCTTGCGTAATAGATGGACATTTCTGGCAAACAGTTGTGTTTCTGTTTGCAAGCTAACTGCTATTTCTAGCCTTAGTTTTTATTACTACTTTAATTTTTTAATTATATACAAAAAGCAGGCAATTTTGCATATAAAACCAAACATTCACAAATCTTCCTGTTCTACTTTTGCTATTTAGGAAGGAGTAATATCTCCTGCTGATCTAGACCTTGTGATGTCTGATGGATTGGGAATGCGATACGCATTTATTGGACCTCTGGAAACCATGCATCTTAATGCAGAAGGTAGGTAGTTTAAAATGCTATGGATATGAAGGGAAGACTTACGTTGCACAAGGCTCTGGAAATGTTATATAACAAACCAGGTTAGGATTGCTGCAACTGACTCGTCTCTAATTTATCTAAAACTTGAGGTCAGATGGAAGGAAATGGATATTTACTGTCCTGTTGTAAGTGATCAGATGAAAGATGACAAATCATTGAAACAGTAGCTGTGTACTTCATTTTTTCCAAGATTTGTACAAGTGCTTTGCAAACATTGCTGTACCCGTAGTTCAGGACTGCCTGAGTGAAAAGAAAGTACTGGAAAAGTTCATCTGCTAATGCGGTGTCAACAGAAAGTCACTTGCTGATGATGAGTCCGCTTTTTTCCCCCAAGAATTCATAGCAAAGGCTTGGTGTAAATATCGCTGGAACTGGCTTGGTTTAAGCTGTCTTAAATCCTGAGTGAAGTAAAATTACTTCTGTCGGCAATTCTGTGCGTACAAGGTTGACTTGACAAAGCAGTCAAGTAATAGTTCAACATCTGACTTGCATAATCAGGACAGATTTTTTAGATATTTTTAGAACAGTATACATGAATCCCAGCTAAATAAAAAGTGAATTGCATAAAATGAAATAAAAAATATGGATCAGGCTTACAAAGGTTTGAGCAGTGAATTTAACAAAACATGAAAACTTCAGGAAGTGAAGATCAACTAAATAAATTTTTAGCTCTTTATATTATGGGCTGTGTCTTTATCCTGGTTTTGTATGATCCCTGACATTGTAGGCCCCTGTTCCATTACTGAACCTTTTAGGCACTGCTGCAATGCCTAATAATAAAATAAAAATAAGAAACCAAGATCATAAAATATCAGTGCACAGTTAGAACTGTTATTTTATGTCAACTTGTTACTTGTTAGTTACTTGGCAGAAACTTAGGTCCCTTAAGGCTGACTAAGCAATTTGGACATGAATGTGGAATTGTGGATCCTCCACCAGAGTCTTTCAGCTTGTCGGTTTGGTTGTATTTCAGTAAATTAAATGTCACAAAATATTTGATTTTGTGCATTGCTAGGTAAACAACATCCCTCCTCTAAGAAGAGGCACCTTCCTAAAAGTTTCCCTTTTCTGATCTCTTAATATCTAGAGGTTTCCAGTCCCTTCTAGTGATTTTAGACTTACTCACTGTAAACCATAGAGCAGAACAGATGCACGCAGTACTACCCTTAAGCACAGCAATCTACCTGGAGTCTTGTAGGCCAAGTTTGTCCAGTCCTGTCCCGACCACTCCACTAAGCTGCCATGCCCTCCTCTGCAGGAACCGTCCATGCACAGGGTCTTCTGTCAAAGTAACTTGCTGAACTGCCTCTACTAAAACATAAAACCAAAGTGAAATGCTTGTTAATATTAAAAGAAAATTTAATCCCTTTCAGAGATCAAATCCTACTTGTGAATCCTTTTTTTTTAATCCATGTTTTAGACTCCTTAATTCTAAAACAATGTTTACTTGAGATTAATGGAATCATGTAAGTCATCTGGGTTGGTTTTGATGCTCTTCCTGGAGTGCCCTTTGGCGTTTGATGTTCCATCATGATCCAGCTTAGCTTCCTTCCTCCCATCAGGAAGTAGTCATTGTTACAAAAACATTTCTGAAATTTCCCATCTCTAACCAGTTTAGGTAACATGTGCAACTGGTAGGTTGCTTATTCACAGCAGAGATTATCCAGCTTCTAGATTCCTTCTGTTAGGAATTTTAGTATTCCAGATCAGAGGAAGAAAAATTATGAAATATAATCCAAGAGACTGATAAACCGGAAAAGTAATCTTGTGGTGGACTTGCAAAATACAAACTCAAAATACACCTGTAGAGTTATTTTAACATTATATAATATTCTCAATTAAAAATAACCCTAAAATAACGTAATTAGTACACTTGTGGACTGGGCCACTTACACAAAAGCACTTTGTCAGCTTGTTCAGTAACTTGGATCATGAGAAGTATTGCTTCACTTCCAGTCTTGCACATGCATTGTCTCCGAGTCTAGAGCTGCTCCTGTTTATGCGCTGGCAGGCTGACTCAGGCTGTTGCTCTCATCAGAGACAGTTTAAATCAAAATTGCTGATGTCAGGACATGTGATGGTTTATGGTCATACTAGTGCCAACTTCTCTTTGGTTGCCCAGTATTGCTTCACATGATATGGAATAAAATCATAGAATCACAGAATGGTTTGGGTTGGAAGGGACCTCAAAGATCATCTAGTTCCAACCCCCCTGCCATGGGCAGGGACACCCTCCACTAGACCATGTTGCCCAAAGCCCCATCCAACCTGGCCTTGAACACTGCCAGGGAGGGGGCATCCACAGGTTCTCTGGGCAACCTGCTCCAGTGCCTCACACCACCCTCACAGGGAAGAATTTCTTCCTAATATTTAAATCTACCCTCCCTTCAGCTTAAAGACATTACTGCATGTCCTATCATTACACTGTAAAAAGTTCCTCTCCAGCTTTCCTGTAGATCCCCTTTAGGTACTGGAAAGCTGCTCTAAGCTCTCCCCAGAGCTTTCTCTTCTCCAGGCTGAACGCCCCCAACTCTCTCAGCCTGTCCTCATAGGAGAGGTGCTCCAGCCCTCTGATCATTTTTAGTGGCCCTCCTCTGGACTTGCTCCAACAGCTCCATGTCTTTCTTGTACTGGGGCCCCCAGAGCTGGGTGCAGTACTCCAGGTGGGGTCTCACCAGAGTGGAGTAGAGGGGCAGAATCACCTCCCTCGACCCGCTGGCCATGCTTCTTGTGATGCAGCCCAGGACATAGCTGGCTTTTTGGGCTGCAAGCAACATTGCTGGCTCATGTTGAGCTTTTAATCAACCAACACCCCCAAGTCCTTCTCCTCAGGGCTGCTTTCAATCCTTTCCACGCCCAGCCTGTAGTTGTGCTTGGGATTGCACCAACCCACGTGCAGGACCTGGCACTTGGCCTTGTTGAACTTCATGCGGTTTGCACGGGCCCACCTCTCAAGCCTGTCAAGGTCCCTCTGGATGGTATGGGCCTCCTTTTGATTGCCCAGGATAGCCTGCTCTGATGCATTGTACTAAGTGTCTATTTTTTATCAGTGGAGGGAAATGGAGGTAGAGATAAGAAACCCCTTCTATCCTGTTTGTCAGTTTGTCTAGCAGCTCCACCAACTTCACAGCAGCTGCCTTTCTTTACAGCCATAAGATATTAAATACCCACAATCTTGCACTCTCTGTTAATCAGTGTGGAAGGATGGTGGGGATGCGGGAAGCATGTGAGAGAAAAATAGCGTTACTTGTGGGGGATCCTGGAAAATGGAGAAGTTTGGTTTTGTTTGGGTTTTTTTTTTGAAAGGGTGATGTGATACTTTGTTTTGAATAAAGAATATTTTTCCAATGATTTTTGTCTGAGATCAGTGTTACTTCTTTCCTTGTGGGATGCGTACATGAAGATCCTCCCATGAACTTCCTGTGTGCTAAAGCCAGGTTTCCCCCGTGTTAGTTCTTATGTCCTTTCCTCCATATTCATAAGTGGTCCTATCAAAAGCTGTTATCCAGGCCACTTTAGATTGCCAGTTAATCCATGCATGAAAATTAGAAATTTTGAATATATGGCAGTGAGCCAACAGCCTTGAACATGGAATAAAATGACAGTATCAAGTCACTAAAAGGAGCAGAAGCAGCTACAGCAATTTGAGAACTGAATTGCAACAGACAGGAAAGAAACCCCCTTTGGGGGGAAAAAAAAGCACATCCAAATTGCATGTTATGCAATGTTGATTGTTGGTGTCAGTAAATAAAATTAATGTTGATTTTAGTTTCAGTAAGCTCTGTCTTTTTAGTCTGTCATCTTATGATTCCACATGGTAGCATCGCAACAAATGTTAAGTCTTTTACAAGGAACATCTGTAGGTTTCAGTAGAGTCATTTCACCTGTTTACTTATCGTGGGATTATGTTAGCAGACACAGTGTCCCTCCTATACGTGTACCTGGCTATCTGTGACTATACTGCTGATGATCCACCCTCAGTAAGATTGTATCTCCTGAATCTCTTGTTTCTTGAACTGTCAGTTCCTTTTAAGCCCTTGCAAAAAATCATCTGTAAAACCAGAGGCTAGACTACCATATATTTTACATGTTTGCAGCAAAAGTTCTTCATATATATGTCACAATTGGCTGTCTTAGATCAGTTACTTTATTAGTGGGTTGTTTAGTGAGCTATAATTGGAATTTAATCTTGATCTAAACTGTTGATATTAGCAGAAGAGTTGGATAGGGGGAGATTGAAGGATCTTTGTTGCTATTATTTTCTCTACTGTGTTTATAAAAATGCCATTCTAGGATCATATTCTACATATCACTCACTGTGGTATTTGTTCAGGTGACTACAGGAGTTGTGTGGAAATTGGGGCTGATGTGTGGTCCCTATAATGTAAGTGCAAATACCTGGTATGCTAGGAATGAGTCTTCATGGTCAAAACTCTGTTTCTTGTTTTGGAAGTGGGAACGCTTGCTCGACTTAGAAGCACCTGCCAGATGAATTGGTTTTGGATGATAGGAGCAAGATGATTGTGCTGTATGAAAAGCACAACATATGAAAAGGAAAGGGGGGGGGGAATCATAAGCCATAGTTCAAAGGAAGGAAATTTTTCTTGTTTGGCTAGGCAAAACATGGCCAAGCATGTTTTTTAATGATTACTCTAGACAGGCGTGCTGACTGGTTCAAAAGCAGAGATTATTTTCATTGCTATGGCTGCTGCTTTAATGCTGCCATAGAAGGAGCAGACCAAGCTTTAACCCAGTTCAGGAGCTTTTGTACCACAAGCTAGTAAGCAGAAGGTGTGAGAATCTCTAAGGTAGTAAAATCTAAGAAAATGAAGATTGCCTCTGTTTCTATCCAACCCACATACTATGTTTTAGGATAATAAAATATCGCAACTTAATTCAGGAATACTTGTAAGAGGGTACTACTGAGATGAAATATCACAGTGGTACACAATCATACAAAA